AAGGTTTGCCAGCGTGGCTAGGACCCATAACCCTGCATCCTCATTTTAAAATGCCCCACGACGCGGGCGATCACGCGCAAGTCCCAACAGTCTCTCTCAGGTGAGGGTATGCAAGTAATCCGACGTGTGCATTTGCGGTATGGCGCTGATGGGGTCATGGAGATGGGATGAGTGAGCATCGTCTTATGTTGTGCCTGCATGGCTGCTCGTCATCGCCGCGCGACTGGACGGACAAACCGGGCGCTAGGGGCCAGACCCGGTAACGCCTTCCCCAGCAGTGTACCTCGCGATCGAGATCCAACGGTATTCGACGTCAGGCATCATGTCATACCACATGCGTCGCCCGCCATGACGGATAGCAGCACGCTGAAGTCGAGATTGAAGTCATAGAGATGACCTGCTTCGGAGTCTTACGGCTCAGGAGAGCAGGTTACGTAGTGTCACCACATTCAGCACGGAGTCCAGGCTCATCGGGATGCCTCCGATCAAGCTTCAGCATGGCAAGGGTAGGATGCATGCCCCAGGGTGGTGTTGTGGTCTCAGCTTCTCAGTGACGCTGCTTGCCCAGCCAAAGACGGTGTGTAAACTTGTATCCTCATTCATGCGGAGAGCGCATCTCATATTATCCACTATCGTACCGCCATATTACAATCATGTATTCTTCAAAAACGTCAACGTCGTGCAAGTACGACTGAAAGTAGCATGACCTTCGCCTTCTAGATGCAAACATAAAATGCAACGCCTGGTATCAACCGTGAAAATGCAATAAGAAACCACCATCCAAGCTCAGCCAGCCTCAAATGCATTAGTCAAGTTCGCCCGAGAACGTCTGTCGACGCATTGCCGGGGTCCCGATGTTGTTGAGCGGGATGCCGAAGTCGTCTTCTTCAGCCCAGTCAGCATCATCATCTGACTCCCAAGCGCATGGAATCTTCTCAGCGCGGCGTACGCGGTATGTGATAAATCCGAACCCATTTGAGATGCTCGTAGCGATACGGAGCATGACGGATACCAGGTGTGCGGGCGGCCCCAGAACAAGCTCACACGTCTTGCTCACCAAGGCATTTGTGAAGTCTCTTCCTGGGTTGTGCTTGGGTGGACAGAAAAGGTTCTGCGCTGGAGGCATGGGAGAGAAGGCACGTCTTTGTGAAGCGCCTGTGAGCTTCCTCATGCGGATGGCATCCGGTGGTGTAGGTATGTCTATGCTAGCACGCCCGAGGCTGTCATCGTCGGAATCGCTCATAAGCGGTGGTGTCGAAGGTGCTGATGACGGCCGTCCATCGATCGAGAGAACCGCGGACGGATAGTATGGGGCTGTAGGCGTCACAGGTGCGGATGCATCAGTACGTTCGTTGGACGGGGCGCGGACAGTAACCTCCGATATCTGACGTCGGTGTATTGAACGGCCCCTGGGCTCATCTTGCTGCTTGGAAAAGGCTTGTGCCCATGGGTTCACAACATCAGCCTCAGCATCTAGGAATTTGGGAGAAGGACTTCGTGGAGTAGCAGTATCCAGAGAGTAGAACGAGTCTGCGCTTGAGGCCAGACTCAAGGCATCCGAAATCTGACGTTCCAGTATGGGCTTTTCAGCCTCGGTGGGTTGCTTTGCTGCTGGGGACTCGATTATACGTTCCATGGCCGATACCGATTCTCTCCTGGGCGCTCGGATGGGCGCCGTAACTGACCGCAGGCCTTGAAACATGCTGGCGCGTTCCGCTACCGAGGGGCGACGTTGAGGAGATCTGGATAGGAGGGGCTTTGGTGCTGTTCTCGCCAAAGGGGTCTCGGGTGCGGCTGGCACTATTTCGCTACTGTCAGTACAGACGCTCGACCGGTCGTCCTCTTCATTTGAAGAAGTGGTACCAGTCTCTGAGCTTATAGTACCAGCAGTAGAAGGCCGAGAGCCATGTTGCTGCGGAACCCAGGTCTTGTCCATAACCCACTTCTTTGCCTGTCCTGAGGGCTTCCTCTTGATCGTCTTGCGTGGGGGGCTCTTTGGGCGCTCGAGCTCTGCGACGACCTCGAACCCGCGCGCAAACGGACACTGCGTCCTTTCGTACTGCATGACTTGAGCCAATACTGACTTGAATTGCGTGATCTTGTCCTTGTCCTCGTCCGTCTCATAGGGGAGCTCGATGCGATAGTACGAGTCCTGGCGTACGCGCAGCACGAAGACGGACTGGTTGTCGACAAGCCATATCTGAGACCTGGGAAAGATGGTGTGCAGGAGATTGCCGCTGTTCAGGAAGGAGACGTTGGAGGCTGTCACACGATAGATACGGAGAGCGCCTGTGATAGGTTAGACAAGTTCCAGCCCGGTGACACATGGGATGGCATACCGACTGCGAGTGTGCGCTCTGTAGGCGTCTTCCATGCTATCGGATGCGCTGCGTCACCTGAGCGGGAAGGTGACAGGCGCCGAGCGGGCCCAGCTGTTGTGAAGGAGAAGATCTTCGAGTTGGAGCACACAAACAGCGTCTCTATGCCATCGGCGCTGTTCGCAGACGGTGCAGGCACCGACGTAGTCCTCCGTGCAGTGCGCGCGGGCAGTGTGAAGCTGCGCCTCGAGTTGCTGGGGTTGAGAGCAGACGGCGCGTGCTCAGGATGCTGGGATGAAGCCGGCATCGTCATAATAGACTTCTTATAGGGGCATTGCTATCCCGGCAGGGCGAGGTCGAGGTGAAGGATCCCACAGAAGACAGCGGCCGGCGCTTGGTGAGAGTATTACAAGTGTTAGTGCGGAGATGGGGGGTGATGGAGAGGCTGAAGGGATTGGAAGTCCCTGGCTTCGGAACGCTACGCGCTTTGGCCACAGGGACGACTTGGAGTTTCAACCTGATCAGCGGATCGTCTGAACCCCGCGCGCGTCCAGTTGCCAGTTATGCCGCCGGTGTGAGATGGGACGCTGCAGATGGGTGCGTGTTTTGTTGGTGCGACGGCATCCCCTATCAACAACGCGTTACTTGCTTTGTTTGCGACGCGCTGCGCTACGACGGGTCCGTGGGGAGCTGTCAGTACGTCATGGGCTCCGCCAGTTCGCAGGCGTTCGCACACGACCTCTACGTGGACGCAATCCACGTTTGCTGCGCCGAAAGCAACACCAGACTGCCTGAGCCTCTGTCGAGCTTGCCAACATGGACAAAATCGACATGTCCCAGTTCGACGTGTCCAACTTCGACCCCAACGCCATCCTGCGGGGAGCCCAGCTTACTCTGGTTGGCGGTAAGTCGAGGCCATCATGGTATCGTGAGTGACAGCTCCATCCTAACACCGCCGCAGTCAATCGAGCTCTCCAGAACCCGGGTCTCTTCACTTCGGACCACTACCGTCAGGCTGCTATTGCTGTAGCTGCAGGCGTCGCCATCCGCATCATCGTCGCGATACCCGTACGTCTCAATCATTCACGGATGCCCTATGTCACGCAAACATTACCTCTAACATGGCCAGATTGTCGGCGTCAGAGTGCTACTATGGATCCTCTCTCTCTTCGTCAACATGGACCATACGAGCATGGACGAGAGTGTCGTCAACGGCCTCCACTTCCTTGAGCACACCGTCCTCCAGGTGCCCTTCTTCCTCATGACCATGATGCGCTACGTCACACCTACTCTGGATCGCATGTAGGCACGCTCGTAGCCGGTTTGAGATCTAGCTGACAACGTCTCCAGGTTCATGGACTCCCTCCGTTGGGTCGACGAGACGTACGTCCAGAAGCACAAGAGCGAAGACCCCCACAACCTCCGCGCCATGTACTACCCAAACCTCGAGAAGTACCCCGACCACGCACCCAAGCCCGAGAAGGAGAAGAAGCCAATCAAACAGGCTATAATGCTATATGCGACAAAACAGGGAAGGAAGGCGGCCATTTCTCTGGCAGTACTGGCATTATCTTACGTTCCATATGTAGGACGCTTCGTGCTGCCCGCTGCCAGTTTCTACACGTTCAAGAAATCGGTGGGAACCCAGCCCGCAGCAGCCATCTTCGCGGGATCACTGCTGTTCCCACGCAGATACCTGGTCAGCTTCCTGCAGGCTTACTTCTCATCACGAACTCTTATGCGAGAGCTGGTGAGCATCTCCTCAGCGAACTCCACATTCAACTGACTAATTTAAACAGCTTGAGCCCTACTTCACACGCGTTCGGTACAACAAAGAGCAAAAGAAGCTCTGGTTCAAAGACCGAGCTGGTGTGCTCTTCGGTTTCGGGCTAGGCTTCTACATCTTTGTCAAGATACCCCTCGTCGGTGTCCTCATCTACGGTCTCGCCGAAGCGTCCACGGCATACCTCATTACAAAGATCACAGAGCCGCCGCTTCCGCCCACCGAAGCCGACAAGTTCAAAGAAGAGTCACTGCGCTGGAAGAACAAACACGAGTTCCTCAATCTGCCATGGCAACACATGGACGAATACAACCTCGCAATGCACAAGCCCAAGATCCAATCCGAAGTCCGTCAAACACCACGAAAGACGTTCAGCTAGTCTGCGATGACGCCTAGACACGGGATGACAATGTCTATGCGAGCGGAAAACTGCCGCTCAACATGACGAACACACAACCTCGCACCTTAGAAAACGAACCGCAGCTAGTACATGCGCCGTCGGCAATCAGGTATATCTAGTTGTCACGCTATCCGGCCGCTGTACGATGATGGTTCCATTATGACTATACCCCGCAGTGGGGTCAACACGTCCCGTTGTGGTAGGTAGCTTACAGCTCCTTCCGATCATACGTAACGTAACAGCGCCGTATCATCGAGCTTATCAACCACCTTGTAGTAATAGTTGGTGGATATGGGTTTCGGCCTCGTCCTCGGCACGTATCTATTCGTCCCAGATAACAATTGATAGGTTGAGAGTTACTCTTTCCCCGCGTCTGTTGGCTTCATATACGTGACTTTCCCCTCTCGCGACCGGACGCGTCTGCCCTTATTGTCTAACTTGCAGATTGTTTTTTTCTGTTCCTCTTAACTCCCAAGCTTGATACACTTCAAAACTCAACATGGGCAAAGAAGGATTAAGATACGCGGCCAAGGTCTCGCTGGACAAACCGGCATCGGAGCAGGAATGCCTGCACGTACGTTAAATGCTCGCAACCCCAAAGTTGATCTCCAAAGATAACACGTGTAGAATCGCTGGCATCCCGAGAACCCCTCCTATGGCTCTATCAAACCTGGTGAAGCCGTCAAGATCGAATGCGTAGATTGGACAGGCGGTCAAATCGGCAACAATGACTCAGCAGATGACATCCGTGACGTTGACCTTACCAAGATCCACTACTTGACTGGGCCCTTTGACATCGAAACTGCGGAGCCTGGCGACGTGCTGGTAGTTGATATCCAAGATGTACAGCCGCTAGAAGACCAGCCATGGGGTTTCACGGGTATATTTGCGAAAGAAAACGGTGGAGGGTTCCTGGATGAGCTTTACCCGGAACCGTAAGTTTGCAAGACGAATATCGCGATTCGAGGAAAAAATGGAAGCAGAGAAGACATGAAGACTAACGCACATACAGTGCAAAGGCTATTTGGGATTTCGAAGGCATCTTCTGCAGCTCCCGCCACATCCCTGGTGTTCGATTCGCAGGCCTAATTCACCCCGGCAGTAAGCAAATGTTCCACCCACCTTCTGTCCCAATCGAACACAAGACTGATCGCATTATCCACAATCTCAGTCCTAGGCTGTGCCCCTTCCGCCGAAGTCCTCGAAACCTGGAACACGCGCGAAGCCGAACTCATCTCGACGCACACGCACCTGGACCGCATCGTTGCACAACCACCACAGCCCCAAAACGCCCACTCCGGCTCCGCCACAGGTTCCGTGAAGGACAAAATCGCGAAAGAAGGCGCTCGCACGATCCCAGGACGTCCTGAACATGGTGGAAACTGCGACATCAAGAACCTCTCCCGCGGCTCCAAAGTCTTCCTCCCTGTCCACGTACCCGGTGCGAAGTTCAGCGTAGGAGACCTACATTTCAGCCAAGTAAGCTCTTCCCATCCACCCCCACAAACTATCCTGAACAGAACACCCCGAACTAACAACCCTCTCCCTCTCCTCAAGGGCGACGGCGAAATCTCCTTCTGCGGCGCCATCGAAATGGCAGGCGTCATCACCATCAAATTCAGCGTCATGAAGGGTGGCATGAAGCAGCTCGACATGAAGAGTCCCATTTACATCCCTGGTCCTGTGGAGCCGCAGTTTGGTCCTGGCAGGTATATCTACTTTGAGGGGTTTAGTGTGGATGAGAAGGGCAAACAGCATTATCTTGATGCTACGGTTGCGTATCGTCAGACTTGCTTGAGGGTGATTGAGTATTTGAGACGTTTTGGTGAGTTTACTTCTTTTCTGGGTCTGTTTGCTTTTGCGAAGCTTTTGTGGGTTGGCCTGTGTTAGCCTGCCCTGGTGAAGTTCGAGGCTCATGTCTCGTTTGGTACCTCCAGCGTTCTTGATTCCTTGGCATTGGCTTTTTCGTTTGGAGCAGAGATTGGTTGTCGTGTTTGTAGCGATGGGGGTTGGTTTTGAGTTTCGAGACGCTTGAGGTTTTCCCGAAAATTAGTCACTGACTGAACTGCAGGCTACAGCGACTACCAGATCTATCTCCTGCTCTCGTGTGCCCCGATTCAGGGTCATATAGCTGGTATTGTCGATATCCCCAACGCCTGTACGACCATCGGACTACCGATGGACATCTTCGACTTTGACATTAGTCCCCAGCTTCCGGCGGAGAAGCGCGATCTTGGGACGTGCGCGTTTGCTGGAAAGAAGTAGATGGTGTGTTTGTGTTGGTCTATGTGTGCAGAGCGTGTAGAGGGTTTGTGGGTTAAGTCTGAGGTTAGCGCAGGGTGTCCAGACTGCTTCGTTTTGCTGTCTGATTCAGTAGAATGTCACCGTATTCGAAGCAATCTCATAAACATGATGTGTTATATTGATCATCGGTATAGGGAAGATGGGGTATCCAATCTCCTCTGCGATAGACATCGTAGGGCATTTTTGAGACTGCAAGCAGACTGTGGTCGTCGTAGCGAATATTCATCCTAGCATCTATCTGCAAACGTGTCGCGGGTCGTCTATAGAACCTTGTCTGCCGCAGAGACTGTGTCTTTTTAGCAAGCTGCATTCGCTATTAATTAGTAGGGACTCATACCATTCAAGCCTGTGTTATCAGGCTCAACGTGCGCTGCTTTGACGGCACCGTTTTCGATGACCAAGGCATATCGCTTGGAGCGGTCACCTCCGAAGATGGATGCACCGTCGAAAGAGAGGTCAAGGGCCTTTGTGAAGCTCAGGCTGGGGTCACCGAGGAAGCGGATCTAGAGAGGTCAACAGGGTGTTTTCTCATTGGAGTGCAAGGAACTCACACCGCTGGAGCCAGATGGATCAAGCATCTTGCCCCATGCTTTCATGACAAAAGGGTCGTTCACAGAGACAACAAAGACTTTCCCGGCATCCTTCAGCTTTGAGGAGTTGATGTAGCCCGGGATGTGGTTCTCAGAGCACGAGGGCGAGAAGGCAGCCGGAACGCCTTTGCCATTGTCAAACACATGTTCACTCAGTCGACGCTAGGGGAAGTTTACCGATAATCACACCCTTTCCGGACAACTCGTTGGCCAGGTTCACCTTGTTACCTGGCGAACCCTCGACGAGGTCAACGCTGGGCAGCTTGTCACCGACATTGACGAATGCAGGTGCCGAGGCGTGGAACAGACGTCGACCGGCGACTGGACGAACTAGGGGTAGACGGCGGGCGGTAGCGAACATGGCGTGTATGCAGGTAGAGGTGCGTGAATGTGGGCGTGTGTGAAGAGAGCACGTGTGCACTTGGTGGTGGTGAGGCACTGGTGGTGGGGGTATTTCGGTCGGAAGACGGCAGGCGCGCGCACCGGCCGCGTCCCACTTGACGTGTGCAGCCTGTCCCCGAAGTATGCAATATCGGAACACATGGCAGCATCGTGTCCATAAATAAGAGCTGTATATGCAGGTTGGTCTCGAGTGCAGCAGCAAATTGCGGATAATGATACTGACCCATTCGACCCACACCGGTACTAGCGCAGCCCAACTGCACGCTTGCTGCTGTATGCCGATCGTGCCTCAAGCCGGTGGTGAATCGTCAACGGCGTAATCAGTGGGGACATGGGTTGCAGAAACACGGAAACATTGGCTGGGACAGCCACGCCCAGCGTACCATGGTCGCCGAAAAAGGACTGCAGGTACTATGGCCGCGCTCGCGATGTGTGTGCGGTGTGGAAACGGGGTGCGACTCAGTCTGCTCATGGCCGTGTCCCGTGTCCTGTCATAGCAGCAACCCCCTGGCTCGTCTCCTCGGCACGTCGCCCGCTTGGCTTGCTCCTAGCGCATGCTCGACTGCATTCCTCTCGAGCCCAGTGTTAACCTGCTTTAGGCCCGTTTAGCTCCCAAGTGCCCGCGCAGAGGTGCCCATGTCTCCCTGTTTCTTACACTTGAAGGTTCCAGATCTCGTCCATCGCCCTCCGTCCGCCTGCAACACGGCGCGCCCTTTTTGGGAAATTTCGTCATCGACCATCCACCACCGATCCGCCCCCGGCCAAGCAAAAGTTTAAACCACTCCAACGCGCAACCGGAACCTTGCGCACCGTCCCCCGTAGCTCCATCGCGGTCGCCTCCACTGGTGAAGACTGTGACTGGGTTTCAGCAGACCCTTAGGCATCCATTCGACTATCTGGGTGCCGTCGCGCATCAACACGGATCACCACCAGCGGCATCTACGCCCACGGCGCAGCCCAATTCACCATCATGGATCCCAGCCAAGCCGGTGGGGGAGGGTCCAACAACTCCAGCGACTTTGTGCGCAAGCTGTACAAGTAGGTTGACGCGCCCATGCGCGCTGTGCTTCGCGCTGAACCTCATCTAGGATGCTGGAGAACGGGAGCGACGAGAGTGTAGTACGATGGGGAAATGACGGCGACAGTTTTGTCGTCCTGGAAGTATGCGCCTCGGGCCTTCAATATCGTGGCAGACTTGCTGACCCAGGAACAGAACGAGAAATTTACAAAGCACATCCTCCCCAAGCACTTCAAACACAGCAATTTCGCCAGTTTTGTCCGCCAGCTGAACAAGTACGATTTCCACAAAGTCCGTCACAATAACGAAGAAAATGGACAGTCACCGTACGGGCCTGGAGTATGTGGCATCCCTGGATACGTCTGCGGGTATCGTGGCTAACAGCCCCATAGGCCTGGGAGTTCAAGCACCCCGACTTCAAGATGAACAACAAAGACGCGCTCGACAACATCCGTCGAAAGGCCCCCGCGCCGCGAAAACCCAACCAAGCCGCCGCGGAAGAGTTTGCGCCCTCGCAACAGATGGACATGGTTAGCGGACAGCTGATGGCCACGCAAGCTCAACTGCATGCGCTCGAGAGTCGCTACAGTGAATTGAGCATCCACCATTCCATGCTCTTGCAAGAGGTCATCGGGCTACAAAAGACGGTTGTCAACCACGAGCATGTCATGCAGCAGATCATGACTTTCCTACACGGCGTTGATGCGACGCAAAGGAGGAACAGCAAGCTCGTTTTCCCCAACGGCACCGACTCGCAGAACGGCAGCATGGAGCCCGCCGCAGCCAACGATGACGATAACCCCGCTTCTCCATTGCAGCACGCTTCTAAACTTCTAAGCGAAACAAACGCAGATGCTATGCTGAACCCCCGAAACCTGGAGCAGATGAACGAGATCACCATGCGGATGAACGGCACTTTGACAACCCCACCACCAGATATCGCGCGAGCAACACTGCGACCGACGAGCCGCGGACCGCCATCAGCAACTTCGACCAACTCAATGCGTCTCGAAAACCTCGATAACCTCGTTTACCCTGTCGGTTCCAACCAAGGTATTGACCCCATGTACAGCGAGCACATCAATAACATTCCCTATGCTGCCCCGCCCAAAGCAGTAGAATCCAGCGAACCCAGAATGCCAGAGCCAAAGAGGAAAAATGCTATTCCAGATCCAGGATGGATTCGACCGCCTCAGATTCTGCTCGTTGAGGATGACCCCACGTGCCGTCGAATTGGAAGCAAGTTCTTGTACGCTTTCCACTGCTCCATCGATAGTGCTGTAAGTCATCTACTCTCGTCGTTTGTACGCCATGCTAACTGAACCCAGCTCGATGGTCTGGAAGCTGTCAACAAGATGAACGCTGGCTCAAAGTACGACTTGGTCTTGATGGATATTATCATGCCAAACCTGGACGGTGTATCAGCATGCCACTTGATTCGACAGTTTGACACTACACCGATTGTTGCTATGACTTCTAATATCCGAAGCGACGACATCTCCATGTACTTCCAGCATGGTAAGAGAAATTTGTTCATTCTCAGTCTCTGTACTAACATCTCCAGGTATGAACGATGTTCTCCCCAAGCCTTTCACTAAGGAAGGTCTTCTACACATGCTAGAGAAGCACCTTGTTCATCTCAAAAAGCCAGTCGCTCAGGCTGACGGAACCATGGTCGCGCCCCAGCCTGTGCAAATAGCGCGTCAATTGGTGCTCAAAGAGGAAGATTCTCCAGCTAAATCTCCACAGACGGTCAGCAACTGGAACTCACCCAACCAAATGCCGGGCGTCTCTCCTGTAGGCAGCACGGTCCCGGACGATTTTGCGCAAGCAATGCGAGGTCAACCAGTCCAACACCCAGGTCCATATGGTGTGAACCCCATGCACGGGAACATGGGATACAGTACCTCACCACACATGCAAATGCAACAGCAGCAACAATCACAACTAGCGCCGGGTCATCGCCGTCAAGTCTCGGAGATATCTGGAGGCGACGATATGAACAATCCAGCGAAGCGTCAACAAATGTACCCTCCCCAAATGCCACAGCAGATGGGGTCCATGCAACCACGCCCACGTTGATAGCAGGTGCAACTATACGTTCAGGCGGTCTCGCCAATCAAGCCTCACAACGAATGTGATGCAGCCACCTCTTACAGGATGACAGGTGTTGAGCATATGTTGTACTGCTGGACAAAGGCAATCCAGCCATTTTCAGGGCCGGTAGTCGTGATCGGCTCTTGTATCTACAGGAGAAAAAGGTGCAAGAATAGGATAGCTCAGGGAGCTGTCTGTCAGGGTATTTTAGGACCTGCAAGTCTGAGGCGTTCAAGGTCATCTATCCATTGTATCAGGTCTGGGTTGGACGGTTGCTAGAAAAATACCCTACTTGCTAGATAAACAATTATATTCTTCTCTCGAATATAGGGAGGTCAAAGTAGCCAACGTCAAGGATATCTATACTACTTATTTTTCGCACTTGCCTCATTGTGGGCTGTCTTGAAAAAACTGATGATTTACTCATGTCTCTGGATATCAGAAATCTCTGACAGCAGCTACTGACTCTAAAGCTGTTCGTGTAGAGCTACAGGTCTCGCTTTGCATGCCAATCTTGGTCATTCCCTTCAGGTGCAAGTGTCGTCGCAATAAGCATTTCCGAGCACATGTCTGCCCTGGTGGTCCAGACCTTGATAGCCAGCCCAGAAGGCCGCGCACGAGCATGTTCGAGAATCATGCGCAGCGGCTTACCCGCAGAGCCACCCCGCTAAAGGATCTGAGACGTGACGGAGACCCGAAGATCTGGTAGGCGTGGTGGTCCCTGGTCGGGGGCTTGTGACTCAGCGGTGGTGGTCAGTTAGTGGGAGCTTTTTGGAAGTCGTAGGCCAAACCCCTCCACGTGCACCACGAATCTAGAATTCCAAGCGCCCCTCGAGCTTTTGCGCAACACACTA